GTGAACAGTTGTTACATGGATGTATTGCAATTATAAATTGTTTAACGATTAAATCCGACTATTTGAGAGGGATTTTTCATCTCATTTAAGTTTAAAGCTAAAGACAATGAATATACGTTTAATGACCCTAAAACATATTAATGGGTAATTTTAAAACAAAATTCTTGAATCTTCCATAGAAAAACCTCTTTCCTGTTTTAGATTCCTAGATCATGTGGATATGCAATTGAATACACGTAACAAAGATCTAGATATACAGCACCCATGTCAGTTACATGTACCCTAAAACTAAATATACACACGGATATGTAAACCACAATTACATTCCTTGACCATTCCAGCTCTCTTACTAGGGTCATGATATCGAGATACCTTTACTTTAAACATACTGACACTCACCAATACCTGTTCTCTCATAGCTACAACCTTGCTTATTGTACTAAAAGTACCCCGTACAGCCAATCTCTCAGAATCAAAACAACCAAATATGTTCAAAAACACAGATACCATTAAAAAAAAAAAAAAATCTTGAACATTAGGGGTTAATTGCATCAGCCTATTTAAAAAAAAATCGAAAATCGGAGAGTACCCTTGGGGGCAAGTTGTTTTTAGATTGCAATGATAAAAATTAGAATACAAGGAAATATGACGTACCACTAATCTGTGAAAAAACAGCTGCATTGTCATTCAGTTAACAAAAACAATATCGTTCCCTAGCCCCTGTACATCAGTAATTTTTTAAAGGCATCCTAATAGCATGGGGAATCTGCTGGTACGGCCTAGTATACACGATGCAAGAACTCAATAAGATGTATAATACACAAAAATATGAAAATATATGGTAAAGAAAGATAGTACTCTAAACCACTCAACCAGTTAGGTCATAAACTATACCTTTCTAAAGTTGAGTGATGCCTTTCCTCGTCGGGTTATGCATGAAATATTTGCCAATGGACGTTAAGCAACCAACAATCAATCAATCAATCCTCGTCGGGTCAATCTAAAGTTATTACACATTACAGGATACATTGTGACATGTATATCTTTGCAGTTCGGCTTTTAATTCTAATGTATCGTAAAGGATAGTTACCTGCCATATAGTTTAAAATCAATAGCGCCGTAGAACACGCAGGACATCACCCGACTGACGAAAGCTATATTTTTATATCTTAGTTTGCCTAGCAGTCTAGGGTGCAAGACGTTGTGCTAGCTGAACAGCTTATGTTCGAATTCTACATAAAGAATGATATTTTGCAAGTGCAAAAAAAAAAAAAAAAAAACAGCTGTGCACTTCTTGGATGGAATTCAAGACATAAAAACATATTATAAAACTTCTGTAAAGCTGCTGCTTCGGCTTTTCAATGGAGATAATATATCGCAGAAGTGTAGCTAGTAAATATATACTAGTATTCCTTCCTTCAGGGGCATTTCAGGTCCATGCTTCTGATATATCGTGGTAGCTCCTCCCGGACTTTTCGACTAGGCTTAATAAAAGTATTGAAGTTATGATTAATCGTCGACTGTTTTTTTTTATCTTTATATTCATTTATTTTTTTTGTTTTTTTGTCGGTTGATTGTCGTCTCATTATCTCGATTTATTTATACAGTCAACACAATATTTAAATAGTGTACTAAGTTTATGAGATTTGAACCAAGCAAGTCCCAAAGCCGACTTGGGGACGGACAAAGATATATCTACATACTAGAGCAATATTTGTGATACAAAATATTAAATGAATCTAAAAAGCTCCCAGTCCCGTCATGCCCATGATTGAGATAACTCTACTTCCAAACTATGTATGTCGGGGCTGTCTTATTATGTCTACGATAACTCTACTTCCAAACTATGTATGTCGGGGCTGTCTTATCATTTCTACGATAACCCTACTTCCAAACTATGTATGTCGGGCTGACAATGTCTAATGTCTACAATAACTCTATTTCCAAACTTTGTATGTCGGGGCTGTCTTATCATGTCTACGATAACTCTACTTCCAAACTATGTATGTCGGGGCTGTCTTATCACGTCTACGATAACCCTACTTCCAAACTATGTATGTCGGGGCTGTCTTATCATGTCTACGATAACCCTACTTCCAAACTATGTATGCCGGGGCTGTCTTATCATGTCTACAATATTTCGTATGTTGGTGTTTAACATTTTGTTTTATATTTTTTTTGGGGCATTGTTCTTTTTGGTCTTTCTGACATCTGCACCGTGGCGCATTATGATCGCTTCTTAAGTCGCGACGACTCTCCACAATTAAAACAATAAAATTATTGCACAAATCCCCCTTTTATCAAATTTCCTACGTTATATACAATCAAGCTTTCAAGATCAGTTAAATTTATTTGTTATCCAAAAATTTTATCATCGTTTTGATTAAAAAGAAATATTTCGGGAAAATTTAATCAAAACAACGATTTCATTAAATGAGGTATTGTCCTTTATTTTGTTATCAAGTACGCACAATTGAATAAGCTTCAAAACAGAACATACTTTCAAAGTTATTGTAAAAATACATATTCTAGAGGTGGCGTGAATCAGATGTGGATAAAAAAAAATCCAAAGATCTTTTAGAGTACATACAATCTAAGACTCTTTCATCTTGCAATAGTATTAAAACATTTGACTTTTTTACACTTTACACAAGTATTCCCCATTCCAAACTGAAAGAGTTGGTCCTGCTTTGTTTCATAAAAACCAATGGCCAACCGTAGAAACAAGTACCTTGTCTTAGGGAGGGATAGATCGTACTTTGTAAAAAATCACTTTGATTCAAGCAAAACATTCTCTGAAACTGACATTATCAAGATGCTTGGAGGACGTGTTTTTCAACAAACAATCGGCAATCCCATGGAACCCAACTGTGCCCATCTTCATGCGGACTTGTTCCTTTATTTATATGAGACTGACTTCATATATACAGGAACTTATTAGGAAGAAAAAAAAAGAAGTTAGCAGTATCCTTGAACTTCACTTTCCGCTATACAGATGATGTTCTCCCACTAAATAATTCAAAATTTTGTGAATATGTCTATCCCATCGAACTTGAGATAAAGGATACAACAGATACAGACAAGTCTGCCTCACATCTTGACTTACATCTAAAAATTGAGGGTCGGTTAAAAACAGAACTTTACGACAAAAGAGATGATTTCTGCTTCCCAAACGTGAACTTTCCATTTCATCGTAACAACATTCCAGCAGCGCCTGCATACGGAGTATATATTCCCCAGTTGATACGATATTCCAGGGCATGTATTTCCTATCATGATTTTCTTGATAAAGGGTTGCTGTACAGAAGGAAGCTATTAAACAACGAGTTCATAGTGGTGCAGTTGAAATCATCCCTTCGTAAATTTTACGGACGCCATCACGAGTTGGTTGACCGCTATGAAATACCTGTTTCACAGATGACAACGGATATGTTCCAATCGTCGTAACTACAATCCCGTATCCATTTCCCCGAATGTGACCTACCGATTTAGACTAATTGCCGGGTTTGTACTAACATGAGGAACACGATGGATGCCACATGTGGTACTGTTTGTCTTTTTCATTTTTAGCCATGGCGTTGTCAGTTCATGTTCGACTTATGAGTTTGAATGTCCCTTTAAGTATCTTTCGCCTCTCTTTTTTTAGGTTTTATTAAAGTCTCAGCATGTAAAATATATTGTATATACAGTGTAGTAAATAAGATAATGAGACAAATACATGTATCCACCAAAGAACGACGATATAAGCGACTTTAGAGCACTTAACGGCTTTCAGTATCGGTGTTTGATGTCTTTGTCATTTTGTTATTTTTTTGTTGTTGTACTAAGTACTGATCATTTGAGTCAAGAATTTATCAGATGATTGTTAGAGTTTGTTTTAATGTTGCACTTTACAACACTGACAAAGGTATGTGTAAGGGATGATGGTCACTCACAAGCATATCTTACCCCGCCAAAAATATTATTAGTCTGACATAATTATTTTTCGTTTTTTTAAATGTATGAGTTTAAAGCATCAAGCCATTGGGGTTATCTTCTGAAATGTTCCTCATTTTGTTATTCCGATGTCATTATTGAAGGCCGTACGGTGACCTGTGGTTGTTTACATCTTTCTTCTTTGACCAATCGTGGCTAGTTGTGTCATTGGGAATCATACCACATTTTCCTTATCATTATATAGTTTAATTCCACATTTGTATGTGACTGTCCCAAGTCAGTAACCTTGTCAGTGTTTGTCTTTAATTATCTTAATTAGTTTTTTCCTCATAAAAGCGATCTGGTTTTATGGTTTTATCTGTGATAGTCTCTACTCAATTCACCCACAACTTTTATAGACTGCAGGGGGCGTAGAGCCTGGCATATTATATTTACTTGTTTATTTTATAGAGCGTGTGTAGACCGCTAAATGTCTTTTAGGTTTCGGATTTTTTTGTTTTTGGCAGCCATCTTGTTGTTGTATACCTCATGTCTATTTTGATCATATAAATTAACTTTTGAAAAAATTAATAAAAGTAAATTTCTACAAATTAATATCAAACATCTGTACACTCGAAGAGACTATTAATAAGTTTTTTTTTTTATATTATATCAATATCAATATTATAATATAAATATTCAATTTTCCATGAAATCTGTTTTAGTGATTTATCATTGATTGCTACAGTACAAACATGTTTATTTATGTAAATGAGATTAGTATATGTCAGTCGGAAAAAAATTAATTAAAAGAATAAAACGCATTGATTTAATCTTTATAGCCGTTTTATAGGAAAATCTATCGTACGAAATGGATGAAAAGAAACGAAAACTGTGCATACGTCAGTATTATAAAAATATTAAGCCTCCTTTGAGGAATTTGACAAAAATATCAATATTGCAACAGATGGGCTTTGGATGAGGGGAAGGTAAGGGAAGACCAATCTACATTATAATCAATTAAATGAAACAGATTTTACTTACGAAAATTAATATTTCATAATCAAATAAAATGTTCAAATATAAAATATCGTATGATCAAGGACATTATTCTGTTTAAAGACACAAATTGGTATTTAAATAACCTTAAAGATAATTCTTGTTCAGAAGATAGGGACTGACGATAAATATATTTGATAAAAATGCAGGTAAGTTTCATTTTTTGTCCAATTATTAATGATATATTATAATTATGTCAAAATCGTGTTATAATAATATTTAGAGATACCAAAATGCAAACATTTCGGGAACAAATGTATAACACTAATTAAAATAATTCAAAGACTACTTGAGACTTTGATAATGTCAAAGTTTGTCAGAAAATGAACAATAATACATTCCTGGGTGATTTCAATAGTCAGAATGTCTAATTATTGAAGAATCACAAAGAAGCTATATCGAAGCAATGAACGAACTTGAAAATCTTTTACTTTTTATTATGTCGGGACTTTTTATTGCTTGCTATATGCGATATGGGTTTTGCTCGTTGTTGAAGGCCGTACGGCGACCTATAATAGTTGCTAACATCTGGTCTCTGATTGATAGTTGTCTTATTGGCAATCATTCCACATCTTTTATATTCAATGGACCGTTTATAATAAACTTGAACTTACAGGAAAAGGGGGACTAATTAAATTGTTGATGGGAATATATATGAACAATTGAGTAGGGTAGGAAAATTTGCCTGTAACAGCGTCCCCCTTCTGGATTAAATGTTGGTACCCAGAGGTTCTGTCGGGGTCTGAAATAGACTGACAACGTCGAATACTTCACATACCAACTGATTGAACATAACAAGAGTTGGTTAATTTCAACCGAATAAAAAATATATATCATGACAATTTTAAAAGCAAACATATAAAATTCACACTTCGGGAACGGATTGTCGAGCTTATTCGTGGACCATTATAACGAAAAGAGTATAACTGTTTCCTCATTGCTGTACAGATTAAAATTTGAAATATATATGATGATATACATTTTAGAACTGTTTACACCTGACACATTATTACTATATATATCTATATTTCCAAGCATTGTAATTATATTTATTTGAAGAAAAATACAATAATTTCAGTTGGAAATTTGACTTGGTATTTCACAATTATTGTTTTTCTTTTAAAGACATATTGGAACACTGCAGGTCAATTCACTTACATTTTCAAATAAAAAAGCTTCATAAAAAAGATTTACAAATTTTATGGAGCTTATGATTAAAATGCAAAATTTTACAACATTTGGTAAACATTTTACAAATTTCTACTTGGTCTTCAACGGAACTTTTAATATCAGAATTGCTGTAACATTTCGATTACATTGACGTCTATCATTTCGATTACATTGACGTCTATCATTTCGATTACATTGACGTCTATCATTTCGATTACATTGACGTCTATCATTTAGATTACATTGACGTCTATCATTTAGATTACATTGACGTCTATCATTTAGATTCTTGTAGATAAACCTTATATCTTTGATGAGTTCTATTAAGGTGGTACCTAACACTACAGGGAGATAACTCTGTAAAAATCAGCTAAACGTTTTAATTACGTTGTATTGTTAAGGAAATATTAAGCTTCTCAATGATCAAAATTAGTGTTTGTCAAACTGCTATATAACCAATGAAATTTTTCTGATAAAGTGGTTGGTTGAAATTTTTTGAAATTTTTATATTTTTGTCAAAGGGTCAAAGTAAACATTTTGTCAAAATTTTATGAAAATTAAACGAGCCAAATTAATATTAGTCAAGGTGTTGGGTACCACCTTAATATCAAAATCCATGCATTATATCAATTTCATATTTTGATCGTAGGAGCTAAGTATATACAGGGGAGATCAGTTACGATTGATTCAAATAAAAAGGCAATACAAAATATAAAATACCAACCCTTTATTCCAGGTTTTTACGATGTTAAAGGATAGGTGTCAATCATAATTTTGTAACTACAGTAACAAAATTATGATTGACACCTATCCTTTAACATACACTTCAGGTTGATATTCCGTTATCTTAGTCTCTGCTAATGTTGTAAAATTTCTTTCTTTTATTTTAAGGGAGGATATGAGCATTAAAGATTTTGAATTAGACAATGCGAAAACACCTTTATTTCTAAGAAATAAGCGCACCCGGAAATACGTTGATAACGGAAGTGTAGAAATGGGAGATTTATCAAATAATGATGATATAAAAACGATTGGTAAGCTTGGCAAGAGATTAATTCGCCGAAAGAAGTTAATCCAATGGCGCCGATGGATCATAGACCTACAATTTGCCTTAGCTCTGTTTGGCATTCTATTGATGATAATAGAAACGGAATTATATATCGCCGATCATATAAGTAAAGCTGGTGTTGCCTCATTCTACATTAAACTTATCATTTCTATAAGTACTGCTTGCCTTCTTATTGCCGTATGGATTGGTTATTATCTCGGAGCACAGATAAGATCAGTAGATGCAGGAGTGAAAAACTGGTTGTCAGTTATGACTACCTATACATGGTGTGCTCTGGCTTTTGAACTGTTTTTATGTGGAATACATCCATTTCCTGGAGACATAAAATCAAACTACAAATCACCTTACGGTATAAAGAAAAAAGTAAGTATTGATGCAGTTGCTTCCATTCTTATGTTAACAAGACTTTATTTGGTCGCTAAATTCGCTGTTGTGCACAGCATGCTTTTGACAGACACATCCACTACCAGCATCGGAGCATTAAGCCGGGTAAAGATTAATACAATGTTTGTTTTTAAAGCTGCTATGTCCAAAAAACCTGGAATACTCCTTATGTTGGTGATGGTCTGTACCTTTTTGTGTAACAGTTGGGCAATGAGAACCTGTGAACTATATTATGAAAAAAATAGTGACAAAAATAGTTATCTAGAGATCATGTGGCTGGTGGCAATAACATTCCTAACGATAGGGTATGGTGACAGGACTCCTCAGAGTTATTGTGGGAGATACATTTCCATAGTAACAGGAATCATGGGCGTTATCACAACTGCTTTACTTGTTGCTATCATTACACGAAAATTGGAACAAACAAGAGCAGAAAGGTATGTTTTTAATTTCGTCAATAGACTGCAAAACGAAAATAAAAAGAAAACTGCAGCGGCCAATGCAATAAAAGCACTTTTAAGAATATCTATTTTGAAAAAATACGGAAAAGATTATATCAAAGAAATTCGAAATTACGAAGACAAGCTTAAACAGTGTTTAAAAGAAATGAGGACAGCTATGGGGGATAAATATCATATTGGGGACGAGGCTGTAGGAATGGTGGATATTGCACACGAGGTTAGCAAAATAGAGGATATCATAATACGCAATGCCAGTAAAACCGATGGAGTACACAACAGAGTTGCTTTCCTTGAGCTACGTTTAGATTCTATAGATAAAAAACTTGATGTCATATCAAAAATACTTGTGAAATGAAACAATTGAAGTGAGATGCAAATTGTGAGTTAGATAATTATTGTTGTTATAGTGACAAAAGCAGATCTAATAGTGGAAACGTTGGAAAGTCAATTTGTACTCATACATACAGTAGCATTCAAATGTAAAAATTAATAATATCACTTGACCAATAGTTTTCATTACTATTAAAAGGGAACTACACAAAGAGAAATGATTCCAGAAATTTACACAGATGGCAGAAATAGTTCCGAAGATGTACAGAAATGGCAGAATAGTTATACAGATTGCAGGAATTAAATCTAAAGTTTTCAGTTCTTATGTTGCCAATTATCAAAAAAAAATAATAATAACAGAAATTTCAATCGTTCACATATACTGCTTGAGAAGACAACGAATAATACATGTATTGCCCCAAAAAACAGAAATGGGGTTAATAGCGATTTGATCTTGAAATAAAGTCATCCATTGTCCACATCATATATTACAGCTTGATTAAAATGGTTTCATATTCTTGCTAAAAATTACATTCATTACTATCCATTTGATACCTGTTATTACATATGATTTTGAGGTTGAATATATATACTAACACGTGACAAGCTAGTACACGCGTACGAGATCAAAGTATAGTCTGTGAATATTGTTTTCATGAAAATAAACGTCATAACACGTTCTTTTGTGCTTTATTTGTTTGAGTGATTTTCAAAGTAGCATAATACTAAACAAGTTTATAATTTTGATCTTTTATATATACATGTATTGCGAAAAATGTAGTTAAAACAATTAATTTAAAAAATTACATCACAAGTCGAGTAATTTTTTTTTCATTCAACATATAAAAATAAGAAGATTTGGTATGAGTGCTAATGAGATTACGTTCCACCAGAGATTTGAACCATAGGTAGAGCAGACAAATATCAACATTGTTGTACGATGCTTCAAAACCAGGGAATAAACTCATCATAGATACCAGTATTAAAATTGTGTACGCCAGACGCGCGTTTCGTGTACACAAGACTCATCAGTGACGCTCGAATACAGAGAGTTAAAAAGGCCAACTGTATTTGGCAAAACCTATCAGAATTTTGGGTTCTCAGTATCCAAAATTCCGATAGGTTTTGCCAAATACAGTTAAGGTAGTGTACGTATTCCTGAGGTAGAAAATCCTTAGTATTTCGAAAAAAATCAAAGTTTTGTAAACTGTTAATTTTATAATTTTGACCATATCAATGATAATTCATGTCAACACGGAAATACTGACTACTGGGATGGTGATAACCTCGGGGAGGAAACCTTCATCAGCAGTGTCATCTGCGAGGTTTACCGAGCTCTACCGCAGTTTCGTGCCGAATATTAGCCATATAAATGGTAACATTAAGACAAACGCATAAATATTCCATCTTAAAATGAGCTCCTGATTGTGAAGAACAGTAGTTTGACATGAAAATGACACATACTGCAGCTAGAACACTTTCTGTCGTCTTTATTTCCTAACAAAGGGATATTTTGTGTAATGTAAAAAAAAACTCATCAACGAAACCAGGCTTATAAAAAATTCATTTCAATAACTTTCCTGCACATTTTTCTGACATTGTATATTTATCAGATGACAGACAGTTGAACAAACAAAACAACATACTCTGGATTTTTACAGAGGATGACCTTGAGGTCACTCCGATGTATTGCTATCGCCTAAATTTCCATTATGCAAATTAGTTTTGGGATTTCAACCGATCTATAAAAATTATAGATCCGCGGTCATTGCAAGGGAAAAAAGTGCATTTTTATACCTGCGATTCCGTTCTCCGTTCGTACGATGTTTCATCAAAAAATGGAATCATTTCAGTTGTTGATTTAGTACTGAAAATTTGACTGAATTATCTCCTTATTAAATACGGTTTTTTATGTTTAATAGGTGTTTAAGAAAGAGGTCAGGTGCTCATGTTCATTCATAAAAGTATCGTTCATTCATGAATTTATCGTAAAATCAAAATCACTACACAGGTCACACACAGGTTGTAAAGATTACCTGTATAGTATCTAAAAATAGACAAACTTAACTGACTCCCCTTACTGTAGTGTGTGAGGGAATTCGATGTTTGCTATACCACTGTTCATTTCAACGCACTTTATGACGATACCACTTTATCAATATGAATGAAATTTTTTGCAGTGTTTTAAGAAATAATTTTACTTTAAAATCGCGTATCATTTGTGAACTATTAAATATTTTACAAGGACGAATTTTCTGTATGAAGTCAATAATTGTGTGAACTTTTGAAGCCCAAACTTTTTATAGCCTTAAATACGCTAATGAAAGATCCGAAAACTATACCCATACAGAACGACATGTTTTTGAAATTGTAGCAAAACTTTTGGTTGACAAATTTTAATTCGTTATTGCATAAATATTAACTTGAAATATCTGTCATTTTCTCCCTACCCAGTTTACCTCTATTACTCATTATGATGTGGACTTGACATTGTTATTGAATCTTATGCAATTTGATTGGATTAAGTTATTATTAGATTACCTTCAAACTGTTCATGCTTTTTCGTACGAGTATATTGATTAAATCAGAGCGTGCATGAATGTGTACAGAAAATTAAATGACCTGCAAACTGGACACTGGACCAGTCCATATTACGTTTTATCAATGAATAGATTTTTTTTTATTTCCCAAATTACAGGGCCCATAAAGGGCATAAAATCAGATACAATTGATTTACATAATTGGTAACAACAACAATAATAGCGGCATATAAATAGATATTTAGTATATAAGCATTGGTCAGAATTAGATGAACGAAACTTAAGGTATGAAAGGTAACAATTGCCACTTTTTATCTTTTCACATAATTTTCCACATACACACATTAGATAAATTATTTTTGATAGCCTATTGCGGAGAAAAAAGAGAAAGTTTACTGTATTAACGTTCTATTCCATTAAATACGCCATTTTTCGAAGATAAATGCAGAAAAAACATTTATGAACGGCTACGCCAGGTAAAATTGTTGTTTATCCTAAAAAAAAAATACAATTTTCAGTTTCATTAGAATATTATAATAATAATAAATCCCAAATTTATGTAGTCATTAGATAAAGTCCTTATATGTCCGATCTGCCTATTTTTGGACATCAAAAGACAATACGATCGTTTTAAGGTCAATTTCGTCTACTTCACGCAATCTTGTTAGGCACTATAATGAAATGGACCTGAAATTTATTTCACATGTTTCCTGAAAATTGATAAATATCAAAGCAACATAGAGCTGTTTGTTCTAGTTCGTATAATGACAATTTAATGTCATGTTTGTTTGTGATGACCCCCCTTTTCGGGATTGCATGAGAATTATAGTTATCTCGTATCGCATGAGGATGACACATGTCAACTGAGCAATTATGTTTGGGACTTAGTTTTAAGGAATGATGTCAAAGTAACATTATGAAAATATTTTTAGTAAGCTGAAATATATATTTATTTTTTACATGTTTATGTCTTGTAAGATATTTTATTTCTGTCCCGTTTTTCAACATTTGCGTCTGGAAAGTTGAAATGTTTTAACTGAATGGTTAATTTAAATTAATTATGAAAATGGTTAAAATTAAATCAATAAAGGAAATTATTGCCCAGTTACAAACACTACCAGGGGATAATCCATAATGATTTTTTTTTTCAGTTATATGTTTCAGCACATGTATAATTAACCCCAACTTTAGCCTGGTAAACTTGTTGTCTCCTTGTAAAATATAAAACATATTTAAAATGATTTCCTGCTAAAGTCTTATATTGATATAAAGTTAAAACCGTCTTGCTTCTCACTAGTCAACACTCCTGTCCTGTCAGGTTTAATTCTTATATATATGGATGAAAAATAAAAGTCCACAAAACATTAACATGGCAGCAATTGCTTTTACAGCCTTTAAGACTTTGATTTTTTTTTACAGAAGAGTGTCCACCATGCACTTGCATTACACTATAATAATAGTAGAATAGTATGATATACATATAGAGAAAAATTATATATACATGCAACCGTAATATTAATATAATATATAACAACAAACCAGTGTATTCTCTGGAAATATTATTATATTAGTATAATAGTCTAAGGTATACTGATTTGTATCACTACAATATAATAGTTATTACGGTGAGGTTGAATTTCCTGTCATTTATTCATCATCCAAGCACGAACTTGTATAAAAAAAAAATCTCTGTAAATTAACCTCAGTTTCAGGTATAGAGATGTGATCTGTTTCTGTGACATGTGCTTTTGACCATCCACAAGAACCTGCGGTCATCCGATGTTCAGTACTTCAGTACTTTGATTATAGCTGACTTAACGGGATGGGTTTTGCTCATACCGTTGGTCTCGGTTTGATAGTTGTTTTATAGACAATCATAAAAAAAATATATATTTCGGTTAAAAATGCCAACAATATGCACATTGGTGATTAAAAATATATTACTAAGTTAAAACTAAAACATAAAACCTTTGGTCGATCATTGAATTTTCAATACCATAAAACAATGCTGAATATTATTAAACAAAAGAAAGTCATTCATTTTGGTATTAAAATGTCAAATATTCTACATAAGGGGGACATGGTGGTATATTATAAAGAAAAAATAATCAAACATTAAAACAATAGTTTTGTCTAAGGACGACATTTCCTTCGCATTCTTCACTGTTACATTTCATATATACACGTTATAACAATAGAAATAATCCAATCGTAAACAATACATAGATAACGAGTACGTTTTATAAAAACATGGATCGACGTATGTTACATCAGATTATATCACTGTTACATCAGAATATATCACACAAACTTTTTAGATAATTGCACATGACGATTTGATACATGTAATAGTGTGACAGGGCAAAAGTGGACATCACTTCTCTTTTAGCTTAGAAAAGTAAATTTTATGGGAAAAATATAATTTCAGTAATTCAAGGACAAATTAATTAAAAAAATAAATATCTCTATTTTATTAACATGCAAAGATTTTTGTATGTAAAGATTTTTGTGTGTAAAGCTGTTTTTTTTTGTAAGTAACTATCAAGTGTCAATGCATTTTCAAACGGGAATTTGTTTTTTAAAAGAATAATACTTTTGATAATTACAGCTTTACGTTGTTCTTAAGCTTTTCTAAGGTAAACAGAATTATCCTCAGTCATTTCAATTACATGTAGCGCCTATTCAGTGTTAATTAATTACAGATATTCATTTCTCTAATCAGTTTGTCCTTAAATTATTGAATTCATCTTCTTCCCATAAAATTTAATTTTATAATTTGCCCTGTCACAATAGACCCTTCATTTATATTCCCTTATATATTTTTTGTCTAGTATTTTTGTATATATTGAACGTTAATATTTCTCCCTTACCAATAAGCTGTTGTTGCTGATATTACAAAAATGCACGTGTTGTCGTGCTGAGCGTACCACACTCGTAATTCAAATTCTAGGAAAACAGGAAGTACATTTGTAGGTGTCAAAATACACACTGGTTACAACTCATCACTGTCAAGCAGACGACCAAATATCAACATCACTGTCAAGCAGACGACCAAATATCAATTGATTTTATTTCGTAGTTTCTGAGAAAATATTTGTTAGACAAATGGACAGACGGACGGACGAACGGGCTATAGTAATA